TATGGCTGAGGATGATTAATGGTATATGGCCGCTGCAAACACCGCTCCTTGGGGCTGCTGAGCTCCTCCTGTTGGATGTGGGAGATGCTCCCTTCACATGGGGAATGTTACATTCATGCGCAAACAGCCCCTGTACCTACAGAAGCTTCCGTCTTGGCAACCTCTGCTCCCACTAAACCAGTTGGAAAGCTGTGGGACTGTGCAGAGATGTCACCTGTCTTCCAGATGGGGCACAGAAGCAGGGTAGTTTGAGCGGGATGCTGTAAGGACCCTGGCAAAACCCATATTAAACTAGAGCCTGCAAAGGCATGGTCCCTGTGTCCTAGCCACAAAACTGATCTTTTTTTCTAAGACTTTTTTGTGCCTTCAGAGGAATTTCTCCCTGTCTTGTTCATGACCTCTGCACCAGCAGTGTGTGCTGTCGGTGCATCTGAGTGTGATTCCACCATCAGCACAAATGTTGTGTCCACTGTGTAATGAGAGTTGAGGGGAGAGATGTATCTAATGAAACCTTTCCCTGGGAGGCTTGTCTCTGCTCTCTTTGGGAGTGGAGCTGCTGAGACATGGTCCCTTGAGCTGCTGTTGAGAGGGCTGGGCAGTATGAACTGGGGTAGTTAAAAATGAGCTGGAGGTGTTTTCGTCTAGGGCAGTTGGAGAGGGGACAGATGGAATAATGTTTCCACCATTAAAAGTTAGTACAACTTTCAGAGAGAGGCCAATGCAGAAGGAAGCTCATGAACACATCTGAATTGTTAGTAGCATGTTGCAGTGCATTAAAGAAAACCGGCAGCTGAGACTGGTGAACGTGGACTTTGTGAAAAATCATCCTATACCAGTTCCAAAGTGTCACGTTTCTGACTTGGTCTTTTGGGACAGTGTGAGTGGGTTTTGAGCTGTCCACTTGGTCATGGGCACATTGGAGGCAGGAATGGGGCTGCTGCTAAGGGTGTGATTTGAAGCAAGGAGCAAGGCGATCCATTCCACTGATCTTTTCATGACTGTGGACGAGCGGTGCCCAGCTCTCCAGCTTCTGTGCGTCTCCACCCTGAGGCATGGCCAGCAGCTCTGTGGCAAGTGGAGCTTGTGAGTGGTTGTCTGGTTATGTCTAAAACTCTCAAAGGAGCATTAAAAAACAGTTCTTTTGCACAGCTAGCAGTTCTCACAATGTAGTTTGGGATCCCCTGATGGAGATATCTAATTCTTCCAAGAGCTGGGCCTGAACTCTGCTAGTGATTGCTGTCTGATTCTTCCAGATCGATGCTACTCAAAACCTGGATTGTAAAGCCAAATTCAGTGTTGGACAACAGTATGTGAGAGACATCCTCTAATCTCAGCCAGTGCTAAAAGAATTCCTGTCCACTTTCCCCTTCTCTCTGGCCTAGTCTTTCCCAGTTGCTCATCCTAGGAATGGTTTTTGACTTTTGACTTTGAGACCCCATTCAGCAGCCAGGCCTTGCTTTTTGAACACAAAAGGGAACTGAAAAAGGGAAGCAGCGTGTATTGCAGAACCTTTGGAAAAGGTTAGGAAAACCCTGCAGACTTGCTGACGGGATGTGTCTAGAAAAGCTGATGGCTAAAGGCACTAAATTCTTTCTTATCAGAAAAGGGCATAAATTGCTTTCCCTTTCTGCAGGCTCTGTTGCCAGTATTGCTTAACTGGAAGAAAACCTGGAAAAGCCCTAGCAAAAATAATGTTTTTAAGCCCGTAAATCCCAGTAAGAGTAGCTGGGATGAGTTCTGCTTTGTATGGTAGTTCCTGCACATTTCTGACATTCGATGACGAAAAGCTACACTCGCCTTTTCCCTCATGTGGGAACATGGAGGGGAAGTCACTCTGTTCACACAGCAGAGCAGCCATTTGCTGTTTCTCTTTAAAAGAAATATCTCAGGCTGTAGGGTTTCATCGTGCTTGTCTTTGTTTTAGATAAATTTCGTGAATAGATCCGGCTACTGAAAGTTGCTTCAGGGGATTTGTGAACTGGGATTGATTTGATTAGAATTTAAGTATTTCACCAGGATATAAAAACTTCCTCCTGGAGCCCCTGATTTCCACCTCTTTGACAGTAGCTTAGAAAGTTTGACCAAAAAAGCCTTTCCCCATTTGAGTGTGGGTTTTTTTCTGCTGCTTGGGTATTGCCATTTGCTGTTGTTGGAATTTAAAGGAAAACTGAGCTTGTGATCCTCCCCTTGTTTAGGAAATGTAGAGTTGACAGCGTCATTTTTGGCCAAGGAAGTCTCGTCTCGCAGAAGCACAGAATGGTTGAGGTTGGAAGGGACCTCTGGAGATCATCTAGTCCAACCCTCCTGCTCGAGCAGGGTCACCTAGAGCATGTTGTCCAGGACCCTCTGCTGTTCCACGGAAGCCTTTTCTACTTTGATTTCCCTAGCATCCTGCAGCAGTGAGTTCCACAAGGTTTTTATGCATTCGAAAGGCAAAGAAAACAAACTTGTTTTTAGTAACTGTTTGGAGGATCCTTATCCTTGTAGTAGGAGAAAAGGTGACTAACACCTGCAGTTCTTACCCATTTGGGTGCTTTGCTCTTGGGCTGTATAGTGCTCATGTGTTTAATGTCTCTCAGTCATGCTGCACTCCTGGTCCTTGTTGCCCTCCTCCAAACCTTTTCTGGCTCCCCAGTTTCAGACCCCTGCTGTTCCACTGAACAGGGCACAGATATGCAGGGCAGAAAGCCACCCTTGAATAAAATGCGTAAGCGCTGAGTTTCTAGTGCTGGGAGTATAAATGTTACCCTCATGACACGTCTGAAGTCTAGACTGATCACCTTGGGTAGCTGTATTTCTGAGGAGTGAACTAGCCGCTCCAGAGACAGATGTGTCACCTGAATTTAGCTGGTTCTCTCCTCCTTGGATGAAATGGGTGTTTAGGCATCCAGAGATACTGAAGAGGTTTGTTGCTGGCAGTCTCCTATTCTGAGACAAAAGCTGTTGGGACTGGCACCCTTGGAGGTATCTCACCACCTCTCCCTGGGGCTCTGTTCTAACTGCAGTGTGTCTCCAAGTTTAACAAAAAAACCTCTCAGCTTGGGTCCAGAGCCTGCAGCTGTGCTATCATATGGGCTTGAAAGGTCTCATGTCCAGCTATTGCTTTGCTGTAATTCCTGTGGACAAGGGGGAGTGTGAAGGGGTGGGAAGGCTCACTGCCTCCTGCCCTGGGGGGTGCCTTCATTAAGAGTAGCACCACGCTGCTCCTGGCTGCCCGAGCATCCCCCCGCTCTGCCCATACCCTGCCAGTTAACCCAGCTGCTGGTGCCTGGAGATCTTAAGAAACATCTCACAGCTTTTGTGCTTGACTAGAAAAACTCTAAAAGAGCAAATGGACTTTAACAGGAGAGCAACATCCTCTCCTTTTGGCTGTAGGACTGGACACGTGACCTGAAGAGCCAGGATCTCTCCTAAGGCAGCGGAGGGAGGACTCCTGCTCACTGGCTTTGACAAGACTAACCTAGTTTCACAGCAGCATTGACAATTGCAGCAATTTCATGCTTCTCCTGCCTGACACACTTCTGAGAGCATCGGAGCCAGCTATGAAAGTTGTCCTGCCCTCCCTGAGGGAAGGTTTCGGGAGGAGAAGAAATCTCAGCAGCAGGGAGAAAGCTCTGTGGCACCAGACGCTCTGTGGGGAGGGAGAGATGGAGCCTCGTGGCTCACTGGGCTACCAGTTCTCACTGCTGGTGGCCCAGTGTATGGGTGTGATCCACGCAGGTTGTCATCAGGCAGGATTTGAGGGCAGAAAGACGCTGGCTGATGAAGTGGGACAATGATGGTGGACTTGTCCCTATCCTACCCCAGTCAAGGACACTTAAAACTGTTTCATATGGGTGGGAAACCTCTAAAAACCCTAGTTCTCAGGACCCAGTTTGGAAAGAGTCTGCGTTTTAGTGCAGGCAACTAATTTAATTCTCCTGCCTGCATCTCTCATATGGACAAGGCACGTGAGGTGTAAAAGACATGAACAGACATGCTACCAACTATGAATGAAAGCAAAAATCACTCTGTTGTAGGCTGGGCCATAAATTATCCAAAGCAGGAAACGTGCTGAGGCACCCAAGGCTTTTAGCTAAAGAGGAACTCCATCCATGCTGGTATCACTGGAAGATATTTCTGCTTGGCCAAGACTAAAGAAGCTATGCCTGGGTGGCTTCACCCCAAGCCATAGCCAGCAAAATCAGTGCTAATCATTGCTGGCCTGTTAACAGGTGATGTCTGGGAGAGAGTGGTTGCTGACTGAGTGGTTTTCAAAGCTGATAGTGGGGCAGCCTGCTTGGAGTTGCAGGGTCAGCTCTGCTCCAGCATGGCACAGCCTGGAAACCTCCCGTTCTGCTTGCGGAAGAGGAGCAGGGATTTCAGCAAAGAAGCTCTTACGTTTTTTAGCTGTGTTGCTTGGAGGCAGAGCAAAAGGCTGAACCAGGGGGCTCAGGGTATTTATGCAGGGAGGAGCCACAGTGGGATTTGGTAGGAGAGGTTCAGGCACAGCAGTGCTGTGATTTTGCTGGCTAACTGGGGCACTTACATTTTCTCTGCATTGAGCAAAGATTTTAGCCTCCTTCTGCAAAGGGCTTGGAAATCTAGCAGTGAAAAGGACCAGATTAGAAGAGCATGATTACATTTCCACCTCCACTGCCCTGTGGAATTGAGCTGCTAGTTGCAGCATGTGGGCTTATCCTGTGATAAGAACTGCACTTCAGCTTTCCTTTGAGGTACTTAGTAGGAGTTCAGAGCAAGCAATTCATTGCAGGGGAGAGCTGGCCTTACAGCTTCAACAAGTGCATCCAGCCAAGGACATTCCCCTTGGCCACTGAAGGGCATTTCCCTGGGCCAGCCACGTATGTCCCAGTCCCTGGCACAGCAGCAGTATTTTTCTCCTGCAGGTATTTTGTCTCCTTTGCACTATTTTTGCTTCTAGTGTGGACAAGAAGGAGGGTCACTCAGTGCCTGTTGCAGGACAGAGCTGGCAGAGCGTTTGGGTTTATTTCGGACCAGGATATCAGCGCTTGATGATATCCTTACTGTGCTGCTCTGGGCAGGCTGGGGCCCTTGGGTTCATGGTGCACGGCTCCCAAGCCTCTGATTCCCTAACGCATCTGACTGTTTGATTTGTTCCTTGCAGTCAGGACAGTTCAATGAAGACATGATCCCAACGGTGGGCTTCAATATGAGGAAGATCACCAAGGGGAACGTTACCATAAAGGTAAGGTGCAGAAGGCATCTGCAGTGGGGACTCCTGGGATGAAAGAGGGGTTCAAGGGAAACTCACAGGTGCTTTTGTTGGATGATAAAGGGTACCAGCTGCTTGTCTCTGTAGGTCTGCAGCTGGGAAGGGCTGCCCATCTAGGTTGCTGCACATGTCCACCAGATGAGATGGCATGTAGGGATGTAAGCGACCTAGGCCTCTAGTAAGAGAGGCAGTCAAGCTGCAAAGCTGTAGATTTTATTATGCTTCTCGCTTGTTAGCAGGGAGGACTATCGGGAGTCATGGGCACAGGCACCTTGCTGAGGATGGATGGGAGGGTCTGGCAGGAGGAGGGGTTTAGATGGAGGAGCAGTTCACAGCTCGCAGTTTTGGTCTCTTGTCTTGGGAGCAAAGGGAGAAGATGTTTCATGCCTTCCTGGGGCACCAGATTGACCTAGGAAATAACTATTGGCTAGACATTTTCCTCCTGTTCCTTGATTTCAAAAGCTGGTTGGGGCATCTCTGCTTGCCACAGAAGCACTTCAAAGAGCGTGCTGTGGGTTTTGAAATGATAAATGCATCAGCGAAAGGCCAGTTCCTCCAGGCTCTGAGGGTAGTCAGTGCAGGAAAGAGCCTTGCCAGGCTTTAGGGGCTTTCTCAGGCTGGGCTCTTATGCTTGCAGAAGGTGGTGATGACTGAGCGGAGCAGTCTGTATAGCTACATTTGAGCTAGCGTGATGCACTCGTGGACTCTCTTGCTGGATTCTGGCTTGGTTCTTCCCGAAGTGTGTAGTTCACTAAGCCATCCCCTCCTGGGAGTCCTTCATGAGGACAGCAAAGGCCTGTGCAGTGTAATTAGCATGTCACTAACACAGCATGCACAGTCCATGCCAGCTGGCCTCTGAGATCCCCCTCTGCTTTCTATTCTTCTCTCCCTGGCAAATGGATGGGCTGAGATTCCCCCCTAGCTAGTGGGAGGCCTCATCTCATCCAGATGAGTTGCAGGAAGTGCTGGCGTGGAGTTGAGGTGTCTATTCCTCTGTTCCCTAGCTGCTTTTGTAGGGATTTCTTGTTAACTCTACTGAGTTTAAAGCCTCATCGTTAGGTTTAACGTCAAGGAGGAAAGGATGTTTCATATTTGTGTCTGCAGGATGCTCTGGTAGGGCAGTCAGCCACTTTGGGAAGGATTACAGGCTGGATGCAAATGGGGAGGTGGGTGGGCAGTGAGGAGGTTCCCTGTTATGAAGGGCAGAACAGTGTTTAAAACCTTATTCTCCTTGTTACAGCTCTGGGACATTGGTGGCCAGCCTCGTTTTCGCAGCATGTGGGAGCGATACTGCCGTGGAGTGAGTGCCATTGTGTAAGTATCCCCAAGGTGCAGAGAGCCCTGTCTCCATCACTGATGGGAAGCAGTGCTCAGCTGAGCCAGTGGCGGGGGGAGCATCCCTTCACCCCTCTTACCCCACCCAAAGGTGTCGGGTATCATTGAGTTGACTCCTTCGGGTCACTCAGTCAGCGTAGCAGGAGCCCAGAGGAAGGACAGCTTTCACAGCACTGCCTTTGCTGCCAGCACCAGAAGCTGGGCATTTCTGTCAGGAGAAGAGAAGCTTCATCCTGGGACTCTGGCATTTCATGAGGCATTGCAGGTCCTGTGCCACCATGGACATTGAGCATGGGATAGCAAAGTGACTTTGATTCTCTCCAGAATAACGAGTTCTCTGCTAGCCATCGCGAGCTCTTGCCTTTAACCTGATTTCACTTGGCCTTGATGTATTGCTTGGATTTTGCCTTTCCTTGCTCGTGCAGCTCCTGTGTACTATCCATTCATCTGAAGGGCTCATAAAGGCCATTTGTGTGGCTCACCCCCTTCCAGCAGGGTGATTTTCAGGGTGTTGCAGTGTTTAGGTACTGCTGGATAAATCTTGTGCTTAGAAAAGGAGTCTTTTTGTAATACCTATTGTTGACTGCTGGAAGTCTCTCTGACTGTGTCCCAGTATGTACCTTGCTTGTGAATATTTCAGTCAACTCAATCCTGGGGAGTCCATGCTGGAGACGAGTCTGTCAAGACATTCATGGGAAGCAAGCTGCATACTCCTAAGGACAAATATTTACCCTGGGAGCCCCGATCTGAGTTGTCTAAATACAGTTAGAAAATCAGATGTATGTGGCCTTCACCATTTGAACATGCCCCAGAATTTGGAGGGGTCAGGAGGGCTTGTATTTTGATATTGCTTCTCTGAACTGTAGGGCTGACAAGTGAAGGGGAATGAGAAGACACCCATGTCTACCTCTCTGATGGTGCAGCTCAGATGTTTACTCTTGCAAATCCCAAACTACTCTCAGATTGCAACTAATGAGTGGGAGAACCTCAGTCCATTTCTGAGTAGTCAGAGGTTGCAGGTCAGGGACATTTGTGCAGCTCTCTGTCTGTGCTCAGGCTGTTTTTTTCTTGGCTGTTTCTCCCTGATGACCTTGTTAGATGCCCTAAGTACCTGGGGAGCTGATGATGCCCTGCAGACTGCCCCATCAATGTGGCCTCTAGGCCTGCAGCACTTTGGGTGAGGATCCAACGCTTGAAGCTACTTGCATGCAGCCGCTCTCTTTTGTGACTGGTTCTAGTGTGTAGGAGCAGCGCAGATATCTGTGCGAAGCCCATGGATGTCCGGGACCTGGTACTCCCTCTGCAGATCCAGCTGGGCAGTTCCATAATTAATGCAGCCACGTAGCAGGAGCACATCTGTATCCTGGCCAGTGCTACCTGAGGTCTGTGGCATGAACCTCAGAAGCACAGGGATTCTAGACTCTTTGGTGGGATGTGTTGTGCATCCCCCAGGTGCCTAGGCTCAGGGATGTTCTTTTCCTTGCAGGTACATGGTGGATGCTGCTGACCAGGAGAAGATAGAGGCCTCAAAGAATGAACTTCACAACCTGCTTGACAAGCCCCAGCTCCAGGGCATCCCGGTGAGCGATTGCCCGTATAGATTCCTTCCCAGCAACTTTTAAGTCTCTGGGCAGGAGGTCGCCAGGGTTTGGAGCAAAAGGGTTACTGGGTAAAAAAGCTGCAAAGCAGGTTCTTGATATCAGGTCCCTTTGCCTACTTATACTCCTACATCCTTGCAGAAAATCATTGTGAAGTGGTGCTTTCTGGTTTGGGGCTGGAGTGGCAGTGGACAGGGCTGGGGAAGCCTGCCCTGTGCTGCTCTCCACTCATCCACCACAGGGCGGAGTTTAAATAGCATCTTCACAACTGGGAGAGGAGGTTTAGAAGAGACCAAAAAAATGCCATGTGTGAAATCTATCCTCTTGCATGAATTTGCACCTTATTTATGGTGGGACATTAAGGTCTGGTCTCCTAGGAGAGCAGCAGCTCTTTTGTGACATTTGAATGAGGTGAACTGTAAGCAGCATGACCAACAGCAAGCACTGGACACACTACGAATGCAGAGGAGGGCAGTTACAGAGCATCCAGAATTGGCATCCTTTGAAAGGAGCTAATTCAGGACCTTGCAACCGATCGAAATGTTCACTACCAACTAAATTAAGCACCTGATGTTACGCATTGCATTTGCAGTGCTTTTTTCGAGAACACGGGCTTTAAAAGACTACTGCAAATTTAAATTGAGGGATACTGTGTTACTGTGATGCTGCAGAGGCCCTAGTTCACCCTGGGAAGGCAGCCGCAGCCTCAACGCTGTTCTTGTCAGATGACAGTTATGTGGTGTGCTCAGAAGGGATGAGAAAGTATTGCCTGATAATTTTATTTGCATAGTCTGGAGGATGTCTTCATGGTTGTGAAAAGCCTTGAAAGGAAGAGGTTTCAGGGCATAGTGCAAGCAGCTGTTGTTTTTTTAGGCTGGTTATCTATAGAGAGCAGGTCTGGCATTGTGTGCTAGTCTTTCCCCCATCCTTCCTTATTATGTAGCTTTTAACCCATCACTCAGTTTCACTTGGATTTTTGCTTAAAGATGGTAAATGGCTCTTAAGAGAATGAATGTCCTGATGCCATGAGGAAAAATCGGTGCCATTAAGGGAGGTTGTACTGTTAGGCCAGTTTCTATTTGGGGCTGGAGAATACATATAAGAGGAGATGCTGTGTATGAGCTAATTAAGGCTGTTAACTGAAGTGCTCTTGACTGCCTGTCAAAGATTTTTTTTTTCTGTCCATGGCATGTCCTGATGAATTGGACAAGGGCTCTCTTGCATCTTAAGCAGAGTCCAGTCCCAGGTAATGCAAAGCATGTTTCCATCTGGTCTTGTGTGCAGGGGTGTCAGGTGTTTTCCCTTCCCCTCCGCAGGTCCTAGTCCTTGGGAACAAGCGAGACCTCCCTGGTGCTTTGGATGAGAAGGAGCTCATTGAGAAGATGTAAGTACACTGGCTGCCTGGGTGACTATTCCATCTGCTCGGCATGGCCTGTCCTCCCACGTGCCTGTTTTTCTGCTTTCCCTGGCACAGGGAGCACTGGGGCAGGTGCTGTGAGGCAAAGGATGCTGGGTGCAGAGGTGCAGGACTCCTGCCTTTAGCCACAAGGCTGCTTTGTAGCACCCTGGGGTGGTGTCAGTGCAGCTGGGTGCATGACGCCAATAGGGGAAGCTGTGTCTAGCAGAGATTTCTGCTGACGGGAGACAGGGCTGGCAGACGAAGGGCATTCGCAGGGACGCCGAGGCAGCGACCAGCTGAGGCGACGTCTCTGCGCTTGCGCAAGTCCCAGCTGGGGACCTTGAGCTGGAAGCGGAAGCAGAGGCCTGGGCTGCGTTCCCAGCTCTGCTGCAGCGCGGGGCTGATCTGCTTCTGGGAGGAGCCACGCCGTGTCTGGGCACAGCACAGCTTCTCATGCCACACGGTGGCGTTGAGGCCCAGCATCGCCTGCCTCAGCAGCGCTTTGGCGCTATGCTCTATGCTGGGAGCTGAGCTCCTGGATCGGTGCTGCATGCTACTCCCAGCCCAGAGGCACCCTCCCTCCCCCTCTGCTGTGAGTGTGCTCACGCATCCTGCTCCACCTACAAGTCTTCAGGCTGCCCCACTGCTTGATACAGGTGCTTGTCTGTGAGCAGTGGACTGCCCTTCTAGCTTAGAGGTCTAATCCTGCTTGAGTATGTGAGGGCCATTCACATACCTCTTTCTTGTTTGGGCACCCTTTGCTGTGCTGACACATGGGTTCCTCGCAGCCCTGCCGATGCTGCTTCTTGTGTGTGTCTGAACTGCGAGAGGCGAATCCCTCTCTTGCTGCCAGAAGACTGGGACACTACCTTCATTTGCAGCATCTCTTTCTGCCCTGACCCTTTGTATGACATCAAAAGTCCATGTCCACAGGGATTTCCAGCTCTTGGGGCATGGTGATGACTTAGTTCTAGAGAGGCCTAGGATGCGTAGCTTGAGTCTGGGCATCTCTGAACGCCCTGTCCACCCTGTGGGGTTAGGCTGGAGCACCTCAGTGCCTCTGAGCAGAGATCTCCCTTAGTCTGTGGGCACCCTGTGCTTTTCCTGTGCTGCAAACCCTGCGCTGTACCCTCTCCATGATTCCCCTTGCTCAATGAGTTCTAGGGAGCTCTGAAGGAAGCTGCATAGTTTCTAGTCCTGGGGTCTGGATCCCACTGTCCCTTTATTTGGCCCTGGCAGACAGTTCGGAATGAGCCTGGTTACCCCACGTGATGGTTAAACCCCTCTCCCCCCCGGCCCCGAGCACGCTGTGACTGTCACCAGACACTGAGTACTGGTGTCCTCATCTGACCCTCCTGAAGGTCCCAAGGAGCAGAGCATGGGGAGCTGTTACCCCTTGCAAAGGATCCCTCTTCTCAGACCCTGGGTTCAAAGGGACCCTTTGAGTGGCTGCTAAGAGATGTCTCCCATTGCTACCCTGTGCCCAGATGCTTACACAGCCCTTGGGGTCTGCAGCAGGCACTCAGAGCTCGCTCTCTCTTTCCCACAGGAACCTATCTGCCATCCAGGACCGAGAGATTTGTTGCTACTCTATTTCCTGCAAAGAAAAGGACAATATCGGTGAGTACTGGCATCTCCAAACTGATGGTTGCTAGCTTGCAGGAAAACTCCCTCCTGGGGTAATTGGGGCAGCCTTCAACTAACCTAACCCAGGATGTGTTTCCTCAAGTGAAAGAGGGGGTGACAGCCAGAGCGATAGGAGGTAACTGTCCCTTGCCTTTGCAGACATCACCTTACAGTGGCTTATTCAGCACTCGAAGTCTAGGAGAAGCTGAGATCCTGCGGACCGCAGCTCATATTGGGAAGATGCCATTGTACAAGCCCATGCCCCCTTCTTTCTCCTGCTCTGTCCCTTCAGCTCTCTCTCTAGATGGGTATTTTTAGGGGACCCCAGACTCCGCTCGTGTTGAGGTGGAGCCCTTGTTTTTATTGTAAAGAAAACGTCCAACTCTGCCCTCCTCTCCTCTCCTCTCCTCTCTCTGTCTCTCCCTCCCGTTTTGGCACTGTTCTGTTCTTGTCTGTGTATACAGTATATATATATATATGTATATATATTTTAGTTTTTTAATTTAAGCGATAGCGCTGTTATTAAACTGGGCCCTGTGAGCTGTAGGAAGGCTATGGGCTCCCCAAGGCCGGCCGAGGGTCAGTGCTGTGAGGAAGATGAGCATGGTGGCAGAACGCAGCCCCTGGGGCAGTGGGCCATGGCGGGCTGCAGACAGCTTTCCTGGTGCTCCCTCGCCTCTTCCCAGGAGGCCTTACCTGTGTTTTCAGGGCTCGGGCCTCCCTGGGGGGGGGGGGGGGGGGGGGGGCGGGGGGG